AATTTAGAAGTGAACGGATATTTCCATTGTTTTCAAGACCCATGTTTGCGTGACTATATTTTCAGTCGAATGTATGTCAAAGAATGTATGTCCCTTATGCACTTTGTCAGTGCACTGACAAAGTGCATAAGGGACATACATTCTCAATGAGGGAATGTCCATAAAATTAGTAACGCAACAAAGGGGACGGGTGGAGGGGTCTGATGTCTCGTATCTCTCTGCTATGCTAAAATCCCGAAACAGGAGGAGGTAGGGTTCCATTCAATTAAGGATTTGCGTTAACTATTTTATGAACGTTCCTTAATTAAAAGAAAATATATATGTTTGATTTTACATATACAATATGGGTGTGAGTAGAGCCAGGATTAACTTACATATTCACCCAGCTTTGTAAGTCGGGAACGGGTCCTGCAACGTATTTTTCCCAGCATTGCAGGGATAGGACTTTCAAACCTATGAGGCTGACGCGAACGCTGCACAATACGCGAACACTATGGTGTTCGCGTTCGCCTTATAGGAACAGCCTGCCGAATATAGGGTCTGTTTGCGGGTAATGCATGTATATGAGCACTTGCCCCATTTTCGGTTGACAGTTCCTACAAGGCGAACGCGAACACGAACACGATGGTGCTGCGTTCGCGTGAGCCTCATATGAGGCTGACATGATCGCTGCACATGTTGTGGTGCCACGGGCACCACTCAATTACCTAGTTTATAAATAGTAATTTGAAGTTGATTTGTTCAGGGTTCAAATAATATCAATGCATTTTTATATTGCTCTCGATGCAAAGAAATATGAGACTCGTGATTAGTCGTGATATAAAAAACTAGGGTAAAATTTAACATTTAAATTTATTCACAGACGGATAAATTTCATTATTCAGCTCATTCTGTGTATAAGGTCTACCTAAATTATCACACTGTAAAATTTGTTTATAAATAAGTCTTTAAGTAATTTTTACGAGTCATATTTGCGTCAATACACCAGTGGAATTTCTTAACATTCCCACCTATGCTTAAGGCAGGTTTGTAAATCCTTATCATTCACACATACTAAATTATTGGATACGTGGTCCCTTCTCCAGATCATGGCATTTATGAAAGAATACGGAATAAACTTAGGAAAATTTTTATCCGGAGGCAGCTTATGGGGTGACGCCCACCGATTTTAAAATATTGTCCTAGATGATATTGAATAGGTTTTCACTGTAATTTTTGTGAATAAGTTTTTGTGAAAATAAAGCTGCAATTTGAAACTGAAAATTTTAGGATAGGGCTATCTCAAGTCTGCACTGTAGGTTTTCATATATCTACATATTTTTTTTTCTGTTTGCAGAAATCCTAATCTATAATTCAAATGTTAATTTAAAAATCTCACAATCTAAATGTCTGTAAGAACTGATGGTTAATATATGGATAATAAACTGACATACATACGTGATAGGTCAGTTTCATTTTAGGCTCAAAGTAATATCCATAGTTGACACCAAGTATATTCACTGATTGTTTTTTAGGCCAGTTGACGCATTATTGGTGTGCATATGCATGCTTGTTTGAAAACGTGGCATTTATGAAAGAATACGGAATAAACTTAGGAAAATTTTTAAGTTTCCAAATTCGGTATCAATTTTGAAAATGTTGGGAATATTCATTCAGTATTGGCCATTAATCATAGTAATTAACTGAATTTATAATTGTGTCATTGATTAGTGTGTTGTTGGTTTTCCTTGGTCACATAGTTTCGGAGAAAGGCATTGAAATGGACCCAGAAAAAGTACGGGCCATTCAAGAGTTTCCATTTCCTTCCACGAGAAAGCAATTGAAAGGTTTCTTGGGGATGATGCAATGGTACCATGGGTTTATTGACGACATGGCCATTACTGCTGAGCCTCTTTATAAATTAACGTCCATTAAGACCAAATATCATGAGACTCCAGCTGCCAAAAAGGCATTTCAAGCTCTTAAAGCTGCATTTTTAAAGAAAATAGTCCTTGCTCACCCTATATTTGGTAAACCGTTTATTTTACGGACTGACGCAAGTATAGTGGGTGTAGGAGCGTATATTTCATAGTTAGACGAATTTGGAGACGAGAAAGTTATTGCTTTCGGCAGCAAAACTTTCACTCCTGCTCAAAGAAATTATGATACGCATGAACAAGAATTTTATGGTATACTTTTTGGACTAGAAAAATTTAGAGAGTATCTTGATGGTCATGAGTTCATTTTACAAACTGACAATCAAGCTCTCACGTATGTAGAAAGTATGAAAAGTACGAGCAGAAGGTTAATGAAATGGTCATGGAAATTGCAAGAGTGGTCGCCATTTATTCAACATATTAAAGGTCGTGATAACTGTGTGGCAGATTTTTTGTCCCGTAATCCAGGTAATGATGATACTGAGGTTGACAGGGATGAAAAGTATATGTATCCACCAATTCAGGCTTGCTCTTTACAACTCGCCTGCAAGATGACCCGCGAATTATGGGAGCCACCTATTAGATAGATTTGAGATTCATTGTAATTTTTGGCTCAAGTTCTTTGTTTACAATGTACCCATTGCTTTACAAGCTAGAAACTCGTTAGTTTCACCTTTCTATTTTTACTATAGATTTTTAATTAAACAACTTGACAATTATTTTGAACTTACCAAAAGTAATGTAAGATATTTACTAAACTTGTATAATTAACATAATGCTCAGTCGGTGTGATAAGTGATTCATAACTTTAATGTTTAATTTTTTAATAGGTTATTCTCAGTTTCAAGTAAAATATAATTTTTAATTTAACAAAAATTGTACAGTAACAATAAGGTGAGAATTTATAAAATTGAAACTTGCTGATTATCATTCTCAATTTATGATTTCTGATTATCATTCTCAATTTAATTGTTTAATGTAGCCTGATGAAGATTTATTCGAAACCGGTTGCTTAATTGTGCGAATAAATTTCTAATAAGAAGAATAGGCGTTTTGGCTACAAATTTCTTACAATAACTTTACATAACCCCTCAAGGAAATTGCAAGAGTGGTCGCCATTTATTCAACATATTAAAGGTCGTGATAACTGTGTGGCAGATTTTTTGTCCCGTAATCCAGGTAATGATGATACTGAGGTTGACAGGGATGAGGAGTATATGTATCCACCAATTCAGGCTTGCTCTTTACAACTCGCCTGCAAGATGACCCGCGAAGTCATTCAACGCCACCAAAGCCAGAGTGCTGAAGAGATGAAGGCACACTATACATCATCCGACTTTGTTAAAATAAACGGGGTAGTTTATTACGAAAAGGAGGACCCTGTCATCCCAGTCATTCCAGCCAGTCTCGTCCCAGAATTGCTCATAACCTTCCATGAGACTGCTTACAGTGGTCACCTTGGAGTGGACAAGACGCTCGTTCGCGTCAAGAAGAGAGCTTTCTTCCGCAACATGCGAAAACACCTTGTGGATTACATTGCGACTTGTGACATCTGTCAGAGAGTCAAATTTGACAACAGGAAACCACCAGAACTCATGCAATCATCACCAGTAGAGGAACCTTGGAAAACACTCTACATGGACTTGATGGGCCCTTACACTAAATCTTCTCCTGGGGGATTCACACATCTTCTCCTGGGGGATTCACACATCTTCTCGTTGTCATTGATGGATTCAGTAAATGGGTAGAGTTGTTTCCAGTAAGGAAAACTTCCGCTCCAGTAATTGGTAAAATCTTAGAAGCACAGGTATTTCGCAGGTTTGGTATGCCTTGCACAATAGTAAGTGATAATGGTACGAATTTTACTTCTCAAGTCCTTAAATTCTTATGTAATCAATGGAAAGTTAGTCAAAAATTTACTTCAATTTATCATCCTCAATCTAATTTGACAGAAAGAGCCAATAGGACACTTAAAACCATGATCCGAGCTTATCTCGATGATCAGGCTCATAATAAACGATCCAAACAAATTCGCGACAAAGAGTCAACTGGTTTCACTCCTGCTTCAATTCTTTTAAATAATGATCCAAAATTACCTTTTGATATAAATGTCGGCCTCACTGACGAAGAATTAAAAACTATTAAAAAATCTATTTCTAAATCTTTCCAAGAAATAATATTCGATAGGCATAGGCAATATCAAAAAGTGCTTTCTTTAGTTTCGCAGAATTTGACCAGAGCCAAGGAAAAGCAAAAGTGGTACTATGACCTCCACCACCGTGATGACCAATTCCAAGTGGGGGACTATGTAGTAATTCGAGATACCACTTTATCGGACAAGGACAAAGGAATCACTGCAGGACTTTGCCCTCTGTACAGGCCAGGCGTTGGAGTCATTTCTAAAGTCGTTGGGGACCTCACTTATGCCACTACTTACTTACCGACCACTCCCCACGGTCACCACTCCGACGTACCAAACATAAACCTACCTGGGGGGAGCCCTTCACAGCGTAGATACACCAGAGCCGAGGTCCAGAGAGTCCTCTTCGCCGGATGGCTCAGCTTGTCGTTGCTGGGGTGGGTGCACCAGGAGGTGTAACCAGGGTAGCTGGTGGTGGGGGTGAGTGGACGAGGCTCACTTGGCGACACTCTCTGTTACACACTTAACTTTCCCTGGGTGCACCCTACACCAGTTGCGGCGATCCTGGAGCGAGAGATGACACGTCTGACTCTGGTGGAAGCTGCAAAGGAACTCCTTGTATTGATAGTATACGAGATGTAACCTCTCAGAAAGAGAGATTACATAGGAGTATACTAGTATATGGGTATAAGAGAAGGGAGGTAAAGAAGAAGAAGAGAGTTCGGTTTGGGGATTCAACTAGTGAACATCAGGTTCTCTTTAGCTCGTAGAAATAAATAGAATAATTCCATAAGATTTATAAAATAGCTCTCCCAGCAATTTAGTTTATAGTTATTTCGTAGAATAGGTAATTTCCTAAGCATAGTGATTCAATATGCTTCTGTAAATATAAATTTCGGCTTTAAATAATAATCAATATTTTGTTTAAAATATTTCATCAGCTCTTCTTTATTTGCACCTGCACTAAACGTTAAAGAGAAGGGGCATATCTACTGGATATGCGATCCAGGTCATTACGCATAAGTAAAAGTAGAAGGGTTTGCGTTATAATATGTACCGGAAGTATTATTAGTTAACACATATATCTTGGTTCAAAACATTATTTATTTAAGGTATAATTAATTCCAATAAAACGTATCTTATAAATACCCTGAGCATTACAAGCTTTCCAACAAGAGTGCAATTCCCTGTCCACCACCAATACAAGCCGACCCAATTCCATATTTCGCCCCACGTCGCCTGCAAATAAAACATTACAATGTAATGTTTTATGATGTAATGATTACATCACCGTACATTTCTTAAAAGCGCAAAGTACACTTTTTAGTTAATTTTAGAGAATAGAGGGCCCACTTGTTAATTAAGAACACTTTACTCATTTTAAAATTAGTACCATCATACCATTACTTCCGTATCACTTACTTCAACTCGTACACAAGATGAGCCGTGATTCTTGATCACGACGCTCCCACGGGGTGCCCAACCGCAACAGCGCCACCATTAACGTTCAATTTTGCCGGATCGATGCCCAGCTCCTTCTGACAGGCCAGCGTTTGTGGCGCAAAGGCTTCGTTAATCTAAATAAATAGAAAATTAACAAATCCACCTACAAGATCGCTCTCAATTCCATCTACATAAATACCTCCACAAGGTCCATATCCGCCAACGATTTCCCACAAATCTTCAACAATTTCTGTATCGCTGGGACCGGCCCAATCCCCATGATGTGCGGCTCCACACCCGCTATCCCATACCCCACTAGGCGAGCTAATGGTGTCAACTTGTATTCCGTCAGGGCAGCCTCACTCGCAATTATGACCGCACCCGCCCCATCATTTACTCCCTGGAAACCAATACAGATCAAATTTTATAAAATACCTTATATCAAAATTACTCTCCCACCGATGCCGTCCCAGCCGTCACTGTGCCGTTCTTTTTGAAAACAGCGGGCAACTTAGACATCGCCTCCAGGGTAGTGCTTGGCCGCGGGTGTTCATCCATTACCATCGCCGTCTCCTCGCCACCTTTCACCTTTATCATTACTGGCGCCATTTCCTTTTCAAAAAATCCTTGATCGTTTGCTGCATAAAAATAAGTGGACCATTAATACCGGATTTGTGACCATTTATTTAACCACAAACCCGACTTCCATCGCTGCTGGGAGCGGAAGGAATATTCATCCGCATCCTGCCGACTGATTCCGTATTTTTCTGCCAAGTTCTCTATTCAGAAACAAAAATTAATTTAATTAATTAAATTTTTAATAAAATAAAATCACACCACCAATACACCCAATAAAATTTACTGCATAAATAACCTGCAGTTCCTCCCATATTCGTGTTGCAATACAAATCAAAGCCCGCACTCAACAAGGGATCTTCAACCTTGTAATCCACCCCTAGCCTCGTCCCAAAGCGGATATTTCTCATGTAGAACGGCGCCCCACTCATGCACTCACTTCCCGCCGTCAGCACCACTTTAGAATCCCCCACCATATCCTGCGCATGCGCCAACCATAATCAAACTCTACCCAATTGAATAAATCATACACGTAAATAAGGACTACGAACATGCGCTCCATTTACGATCGCCTGGAATCCAGAACCGCACATCCGATTGACATTCAGCGCAGGTCGATCCAACGGGACGCAACACCGGAGGAGCAGGTGGCGTGAGATGAACGGACCATCTTGTGACGTGGACTGTGAACAGTATTTATTTTTTTTAATTTGTCGCTAAATCCAAATTAATCAATTAGCCACTCACACTAAATACATTCCCCACGACGACAGAATCAACCATCTTCGGATCCACCTTTCCCGCAGTTAACGCCGCCTTTGCTGCCACCTCGGCCAAATCCACCGTCGTTTTTCCGTACAACTTACCACCAAAGGCACCAAATGGGGTTCGCTTCGCCGCCACGATAAATATACCTGCAAAATTTTACAAAATAACCGATATCCTCCTACAAATCCTGTCCTCGCAATTATTTTCATTTGTTTAGAACTAACTGATTATTTGTACCTTTAGTAATGGAAGCCATGACGCAAATTTAAAAAAATACGGGTACAGAAACTCAATAACTTTCTGCAGACGAAGAATCCAGAAAAGTGTAGACGATCCAGCTGCTGCCGCAGAGCAAAAAAAAATACTTCACACTATTCCAATCAGTTGCAGATAGTCGTTGTCAGGCTGAAATTGTATGCTTTGCTTTGATAAGATAAGCCTCAGACCAAATTTATATGCATACGTATGCCACTATCATGCTAAAATAACGGGAGCAAAGTATAAATGCTTACACGTACATACTTATGATCGTCTACTAAATATGTATGGTTGCCAATTATCTACGAGAGAAGATGAGATTGGCCCCGTGTCGTCACGTTAATTGGTTCGATAAGCAAAAACTAAATTCAATCTTCAATTTTTAAATGCAATCCCAGCTCATTTCTTCTCACTTTTTTTAATTGATATTTTGAAAATCTAACGTGTTCTCGATGATATTCTAAGAAACCTAATTGGTAATCCTGCCCAATTCGAATAATCTATACGACGAATTATGATAATCCTTGGATGTATAAAGAAAAATCTTAACTTCTAGTTAAAACGTGCAAATTGAGGATATTGCATATCAAATTGATAATAATTTTATGAACTCAGATTCCGGAAATATGAGCTTTAAAGAAATTAGCATTCTCCATAGCAAAATACATGACCGAAAATAATTCTTACCCATCAGGGCCTGAAGTTCATGCACTGAAGTTCACTCTTCAAAATACTTTTCATAGTTTATAACTTCAAGATGTGTGTGAAGTGCAGTAATTAATTCGATTCCCCAAAGTTACATCTCTACCAAGTAGTCTTGTATTTACTTCTATTCATCACGACTAATTTAATACATAAACTCAATTCTAGTGATAAATATACATAAGGATGCATTCCCCATTTCTTCCTCTACCCTCCTATAATTTTAATATAGAAATAACTGCATATAAATATTTAATAACGCGACCGTCAAATGTGCACATGTTTACGACGTGAAAAAATATAAAACACAGAATAAAAGTTTTACTCTTAATAAATCCATTTCACACCGCAATAATAATTCTTGCCCATCCACCACGTGCATACCGTATAAGAATTTTCCAGATAATATTCTCCATTACTGAATGTATTAACGCATACATAGAATACCCACCACTACTACATTCTCACCACAAGATCTCCACGATCATTTCTGTAAAAGGAGAATGGGTGGGACAGGGTGCTTCTTGGTATGTCGGTAAGTATTATTATTAACATATACTTACAATAAATAATAAATAAATAAAAACGCCAAATAAAGATGCAACTGAAGAACCATACGCCGAAAATTACCAAATGTACACCTACGTATCAAAAGAGCTCTACGAAATTGTGATGAAACATTTCCCTGCCCTACCAAAGTTTGCAATCTGCGGTCACAGGTATTCATGAATTATACAAAATTTAGACCGTGTAACTTATGCATTCAGCCAAAATATTTCCTTATAAATAAATTTTCCTTTTCATATTTATGGTGAATGGATAATGCATAAATATTAGTAATAAATTAAGGCTTGCCTTGCAGCATGGGAGGCGCAGGCGCTATATGCATCGGGCTGAGGAACCCAGACAAATTTCCATCCATTTCCTAATTTGCAGGTCTTTTAAACTTTTCCTTATGTTCTTTCTACACATAAGAATTTATTATTACTATTGGAATACAAAATATAATAACTGTTAACAGCCAATTGCAATCCTATATCCTGGGGACACAAAACGGTCTTCCCTAAGCTATTAGGAGCAGATAGGGAGACATGGAATAATTACGACGGTTCTGAGGTTATCAAACGTTACGATGGACCACGAAGAGAAATACTGGCAGATCAGGTATTTGCAAATTACATCAAATTTTTAAATATTTCCTTGAATATCTAGAACCGATCAATAAATCAGTTTCTACCTGACACCATATTTTGTTACAGGGAACGGACGACTATTTTTACCACACGACTAAAACCTTAAACCCCGAACGTCTCGTTGAAGTTGCCGCTGCAAATCCCAAAGTCACAGTGAACATGCGGATGCATCCAGGTATGCCATTTCCATCACTAAAATTAAGAGTCATATTAATTACTCCTTCTACCGTGCAGGACTTGATCATGGATTTAATTTCGTGAAAAGATTTTGGAAAGACCACTTTGCTCATCATGCTCGCAACTTGTTTCTAGAGTCGCAAGGAGTGTCTTTTTAGTCTCTGGCTAAAAATAATATAAAATTGTCACAATTTGAGGCTGATCATATAAAAAAAACACATTATTGAAAACATAACAAAGCTCTCATCGGCCCCTTCCAAATCTGCTAAATTTAGAATAAGACAAATACGTATCGATAAGGGAGCAGAGACAGAGATTTTGGGTCGACTCAGAGTTTAGTGTGTAGTTAGCATTAGAATAAGTAAGTAGCTTCCTTCCCTTAGGTTACGAGTTTGTGGAAATAAAAGCTAGCAAATGGAGATTCTTTTTCCCGGACTTCTTGCATACATTTATTTATCACTGTCCAACAATAGGCATTGGGTGTGATCATGAAGAGCATGTCACCAGCACTATTAACTATTTACTCAACCTATAAGGTTATCGATACTGCCAATCTTCTCCATTCACTCCCCCAACTGTACGACATTTCACTTACATGTTCCCTCTCGTGAAATGATTTAAATGTCAACTTCAGAATGCAATTTACACGTAACAACTGAAATGGCAAGAAAACAAAACATGCACAACCTAAGAGAGGTCGGCTTAGTGATGCCGTTGTTAATTTCAACCAAATCATATCCACCAAATGCACAATAAATTAACTAAACCATTTAAACATGCATTATAAATTAACCATTTTCATCCTGTACATATGATTTAGCTGTGACTAATCAGCAACAACGAGGCAAGCTGAGAGAAACAATAGCTCTGCATTACAAGAGGCGTTCCTCGATCGACAAAATTATTCCCGACATACAATCGCAATTCTCTACAACTTTTCAGCGTCTTCACCAATTCCTTCTTCTTACAAAACGACCCACCTCTAGTCAAACACGTATTCCTTAGAACTCCCAGAACCCTAATAGACTTCGAATTAACGAACGACGCCACCGTGAACCCAATCATGTTAAACAAGAAGGTCTCCAAGGCCAGCATGCCTATCCCGATGTAGGCATACGTAGGAACCCTACCCTTCATACTCAGAACTATAAAGGTTGCGAATATCTGCAGGTTAGGAAGCATCACAACCAGAGCGGGGAGGACTTTGTACCGCACGCAACAATTTAACTGGTTCACAATTAGTTGCAATTGTCGATAAAGTTTGTAGCAAGACCGCTCCACCCCCATAGATGACACTACATTTCCTCTCTTCGGATTCCTTTTTAAGAAACCCAACCATTTTAACTTCCATAATCCCCTCAGTTTTGTCTTTGTCGGTTGGTTGCCATTTATTTCCTTCGTATTTTCCTTCACCTTTAAGGTCCCACCATCCCATTGATCACCACCTCCCAATTTCCTGTACAATAATATATTATTAATCAGACATCAGCAGATATCCCTTTCACAAACGTTTTTACAACTTTTAAATAATTCAGGAGACACGTAACCCCCATGAAGAAAATATAGAATGCATAGAAACACCCAGCCATCAGGGTCTGAAGAAAATTCAAAGTTTCAAATACAAGCACTGGTATCCAAACAATAAGCGGTGGTTGAATTCGGCTTCCAAATGGTCACCCTCCTTCCGGCAAACTTTGACAATAGTCCGTCATAGATAACAAATATGGCGGGAGACACGGCATAACCAGCAGAATGGCCGCATTAATGAGAGGAATCGTACAGAACGATACTTGAAACACGGGAAGGAGGAAGCGGAGCAGAAATTTATCCACCGATGTCTTCTCATAAGTCCCTCCTAACATTTAAATTAATTTCGAGATTAAAATAATTGTAAATTATAAAAGTAAATAACTCTTTTCTTCATTTGTTCTTCATTTTTTCTAACCTCCCAGCAGTTTATCCTCAAATTGAACCAAACAATTGACAAACCTACCAGTGTCAGAGTCCACTTTCCATTCCCACCGAAGTAATAGCGATGCCGTATACATGATAAAGAATACTGATCCTTGACACTTCTCCACAAACGATTCTCTTCCCGCTCCCCAGTTTAATTGACATGGCAACCACGTACAAAAGATTCAGACAGACTTCCAAACGATACATTAAAAACTGTCGCTTCTTCCGAATCACTTGTATTTTCCCTCTGGGTTCACTCCATCTGAACGGAATGCACCCCAACCAACCACAGAGAGCCAGGTTTAATTTAAAATATCTACAAAATGTGATTCCAAACATTTTATTTCCGTCAACTCAACCGCCAAACACACTATAGGTAAACTGTATCAAAATTTGGACCTCTTGCAACCAAAAATCAATCTAACCTCTCTGGATCAAGTGACAGAATAATTGCTATTCAAGAGATTAAATATTCCTACAATTTTAAAATTTATTAGCTTCCAAGCCCACAATCCCGCCCTGGCCTTGCTGCTCTGTTCAATCATAAACCACCCTTAACAAGTACATCTTTATCTATCAGCACTTGTTATCAGTTACAAGCTATAATATTCTACGTGAATATTTCTTCCATTTAGCTTCAGATATAACAATCTACAGCACCCTTCAGAAGGAATACGTTGTCCGGTGGGATGTCACTAGATGGTAATCTAGTGACATCCGTTTACGATAACATCCGTTTACGTCCGTTTACGATAACACAAAATAAAACCACACATACAGCTTACATGTCTATAGTTATACGTTTCGTAACAACCGTGAGAAATTACTGATTAATCTATGTAATTAAAGTCCAAGATATTCCACCGTTTCTTAATTCCATAAAGAAACATATCAAGAATAAAAACATTCTTAGAATTTTTATAATCCCTGCAGTTGTCCTTAAATATTTATACAGAATAGATAAATTTACAGCAGCTGTACAAATAATTTTAAAGACTATTTAAGTTTGTCAAATCCTTAACAGAAATTATTTATTTGCATAATAACTATACCAACGTTTTGGAACCTGCAGAAAAAAACATTTCCAATAAACATTACTTATTTGCATAAATAGTCGTTTCAAAACATACAAGAAAAACTTATTGCTCAATTCTGCCCGTTGTAGGAAATATTTTGCACAAAGGAAATTTACTTGATAATATCAAGTTGATATCGCTTGAACCATGTGAAAAAGAAAAGCATTCCAAGTACATAAATACAGATTAATTATAAGGAAAAATACTTAACGCGACAATATGAAAGTTTTATTGTACATACATACAAATTATATTTAGTATCCAACTTTTTATTTTACCTACATTATAAGTAAAATATAATATCTACATATTTCCACTTAAACAATAACTCAGTTATTATAACTGAGAATTCTATTGTATGTAGGAACGCCTCCACACACACATACAACTACAACTTTACACCTATTTGCCAAACATTGTCTCCTGTTACCCTTGAAATAATCCGGTAATAAAAGTGGTAACAACGGTGACTGCATATGATTCTAAAACCAACATAACAAAATTACAACAGAGCGGTAATGAATTTATTACCGCGCCTGGTATCTATTATCAATGTGATAACAAATTTGTTATCAATCGGTAATATTATTACTACTGTACAGTTAGTCATATACAAATATCTAGTCAACAATTGTAACAGGATTCTTTTAGTGTAGTAGAAAAACACGAATGGAATTTGCACCAACCTACGCCAGAATTTTTAAACCATAAATGCTACAATGAAATATTTACTCTACCAATACTGCCAATATTTACTCTACCAACCGTTTTGCACCCAATAATAAGTGGGTTGATACATCCTCCTGACAAGAACAGATATATTGTCTGCAAAATTTTCGCACTTTTATTTAGGTTTCAACTATTCAGATAAGAACTCTAACACATACCTGATTTGTTTTGTCAATTGTTTTATCCATACACATTTCGACCATGCGGTTTCCTCACTGGCAGTTCTCCCTATTAGCGATGATCTCCACATTACTGATCTCAAAATCTTGGGGTATCTCGGACAAATTTTTTCTTGATGCCGACATCACTTTCATATTCGTATCTGAATGTTCCAAACTACTAGATATTGACTCTAATTTTCCGTATTTTCATTCTGTTCGCATTTTAAATTCGTACACCCCACTACGTCAAATTACCCTTTGCGAATCCCCCATCGATTTCCACCTACCCACAGAAATCGAATCTTTACACGATTTTTCCCATCGCGAAACAGGAAAATCAGCACGACACCACACCCTTTTTATACCACTAAACCAACCACGCCTGTTAGTCTCGGGATATCTCACCTGCGAAATATTGCTACATCTCGTCACCAAGGAATTTCGACCAGACCACGTCTTCGGCAAGGTGGATCTATCTCGAGATATAGACTGCATCAAGCGTGCAGCTGTACTTATAGGTACCGCCAAATTAGCCATCTTCGATGACAATCTGACTTCACCCCTACTCATCCCTTGCTTGACATGTGAGCCCCTCAGCTTTCTACAACTATTGACCTTCTCGCCGACAGAAATTTACAAACGCTGGAACCTCTTAAACAAAAATATGCACAAATATTCCGTATCCTACTCTACTCTTGCCGAATCCTTAGTAAACTCTGCCTGTTCCATCCCATACGTCAACTCTACTAATTCACTCGACCCAGACTTCTGTCTCGTGTTGGCTATCGTGCAAAAGTATAATTTGACCTTGATCAGAAAATACGGTACTGATTCAATCGCCGATTTCCACCCGCACAGAAACTTCGGCGGAGTTTTAAGTTACAGGATTAACTACATTGAAACATTCTACCACATTTACAAAGTTAGTCTGTCATACGTCAATTTTCTAACTATCACAAACCCGCCATCTCCTGCCAGCGGGGTTGCAACGTTTGTCACCCCGTTCGACCGGGAAACTTGGATATGCCTTCTGCTAACCATAATTGGCCTAGCAGGATTTCTAACATATCTGGAATTTATTAAAGTATCCCGTAACTACTGGCTGGTAACCGCGCTGGAAAAGCTAATCACCGTGACGTCCATTCTTCTCGGTCAGGTCGGCGACACTGCTGGAAAGGCATATCGTCGAGGCAAAGTGACCTTGGTGATCCTCACCCTTTGGCTTTTTGGATACCTCGTCCTAATGGCAAATATATATCAGGGTTCGATCTATTCCTGCCTAACCGTCCTCATCCCACCACCTACCCCCCACGGGGTTCACGACCTAATAGACTGGGACATCCTCATCGTAGCTAGAGATCCCTTCTACAACTTCGTATCTGGATCCACCAAATCCTCTTTACTGGATTACATTATCCCAAACCTACTCTCTAGTGGCGCCCAGACTCCAAAATTTACCAAATTTTTGACCGGATTCCAACAAAAGGTCGTCGACATAAATGACAATTCTGCCGGGACCATGCTAAACAAGATTATAACCGAAAACACTACCAAAAAATACCCCAGCATCGCCATATTTCTCTACGAGATGGACTTTGACTTTGTTTTAAAAGTTTATAAGTTTGTCGGAAATCGTCGCGTGGTCCTTAACAGGGGAGAATCTCCATTCAGGAATTTAGAATTACGAATCGGCGATACCAACTTGCTAACCCCTTATTTCTCCCGGGATTACGTGCGCATGCGCGAAGCTGGCTTGGACAAAGTGTGGCTTCACGTAAAAAGAGTTGGCGAGGTGTTGAAAAAATTTAGTTCTGGCTACGACAAACAGAAATACTTTGAAGCGGTGCAGCGCTCTTTTGGCAATTTGAAAGACCCGGTCACATTTACTGAGGCGACGCCCGTCTCCACCGATCTGATAAGGCCGGTCTTTGTCATATGTGGAATTCTCATGAAACTCGGGGTGATGGCATTCCTGGGGGAAAATAAGAAGATTGCTGTATTTTGGGGGGTACGTCTAGTTCAGTGGCTGCAGCTAGGATTGCTTTATTTTGGCAAAAAATTGAAATATCTAGCAACATTTTGTAAGGAAAAAGTAGTCACTCCCTTAATACGTCGTATTGCCAGTATTGTAAGGCAAATGTCAAAATTGAGACTATTAGGTGCAATTCGTTAGAATAATAAGCAACTCGTAATCCCAATAATAATATGCTACTGTTATTTAACGCCAAGTCTACGTGACTTATGTGAAACAAAATGCATTATTTTAGTGAGCACATAAAGGTCGGTTTATGGTTTACGAATAATGTTAGCGATCGCTAAGAGAATTGAAAGTTTATGGATTTTTGCTTATCGTCATGCCATCGACATGTCATCATAGCGTCCTCCCCAAAATTCGTTGTTTGTTGTCATGCGGGTTCTTAGTTTACGATCGCTCCAATTTTGCGATCTCTTCACGATCTCTATGAAAGTAGAAAAGTTTCTACTTTTGGACGGAGGATGGACGGCGGAAGCTCATAAATTTTGGGGAAAAAATGTGATGACAACGGAGTTTGGAGTATAGAGAAAAAATATTGAAATTAAAAATTTCAATTACGGGTTTCTACTTTCTCTATGATGACGCGCAGCGAAAGTGGTAGCGAAGAGAAAGATGTCGTGATGATGACAACACATGGCGAAACTATATATCCGCGACAAGTAAACAAGGTGAACGCTATGGTGACATGACGCAATCGTGTTGATAAACTATAAACCATACTTAAGTCATTCTAGAATTAGTGTGGCGATATAATAACCAGGGATTATAATTATTTATTTATTTACTTCGACATGTTTTATTGTTTTATTATTAATTACTTAAATTCTTTGGCCAATTACTGACTAAACAATTTATCTAAGATGTTAATTTTTCCAAAAATAAGGAATATGAAGCCAAAAATCACTTATAGCAGACGGGAATAAAAAAAATGTAATACGAAATGGACCATCACAATGGACTGAAATTGATAGTTTCTCTACTAAAGCATATTATTACGTAGCACAACTACATTTTACCAAAATATTCTATTCATATTCCCATTGTATGCCAATTTTTTCAGCACCCATGCACAGTACTTTTCACGAATACTCTATCCCAAGTCACACCCTGCACTTAAATTTTATCACTAACCAATTAGGAATATCTTTCCTATAAACTTTCCCATAATAATCTTAATGGCATGGCATTATCATCCTACAATATTTAATTAGGTGTTTAGTTTCCCCGCAGTTATATGATACTCTCCACGGGCCCTATTTACATAAAATTAATATTAATACAAAACTTTACTTTATCCTAAAAAAATTCTAAATAGTTACGTATGTGGCGTATAAATCCCTGCCAGGACCGGATTCGGGCATTGTTCCCGACACAATTTAAAATTCCCGGGATCCAGTTCCCTGCTTGAGCATTGGCAAGCAACATACGCCCTCTTGAAGGAGTCGAGGAACAGGTATACTGCAAAGCCGTGGCTGCAGAAGAGAAGGTTGCTGATCAAATTACAGCCTGGTTGAGAATGTCCATTATTTACTGGAGGCATAATTGACATAGCGAAATTATAAGTGACAATTCCATAAATCATTTTTAGCAAAAATCTTTCCAATTTTTTTAACTTACTGATAAAATCGACATGTCCACCTAGCGTTTTCTCTCCGTATAAGCCTGCATTTGAATGGTAGATATCGACAAAATAGGCATCACTCTTGTCCAGGTTCCAATCTGGGTGGGACGGATAATACAGCGGTCCTGCAGGGTCGAGTCCTACAGGATTTTTTTAAATTCACAATATTTGTCCAGATCTTTACAAAAAATTTGCCCAACCTGTCAGCCTAGCCAGCTGTCTCCCTCCCATTAACAACTGAACTTCTGCCCCAACCCTTCCGACAAGATGTGCCCCAAGGGATACTCCAATGAGATGAGTCCTGTCCAAATTTATGCTTCCAAGATAATACAGCCACGCTATAAAATTTGCAATCCGCTTCCCCGCTTTGGCCACGTTGCTCACCGCAATGGGATACGCGAGGAAGAAATCCGGTGGAAAGATAATATTTCCTGACAATGCTGACCAATCAACAATTATAAAATTATCGATAAATCCAGATCCCGTTGTGAAAGTAGGGACCACATCATCTGTAATATTTTTTCAGTAATTTGATCGCTAATTTGAGATTTGAAATAAAATAAATGTGGAAAATATTCAATCTTACTTGCGAACATAATAATCCGTTCTGAATATCCGTGAACGTAAAATACAGTTAATCCACCCGGTATGAATGAACTATTTTGTAGAGATGCTTTATCATTGTGCTTTATTTCTTGTAGAACACTAAATTAAATTACTTAATTATAGCGTTTATGTTAATTTAGCATATAAATTTATTTACCAACCCACCCTGGACCCTTGCTTAGAATGAATTTTATTTTATTCGGGTCAAAACCTATTTCAAGTGGGAGAAGGAAACTCGAGCAAAGGAACCAAGTTGAGAAGAAACTGTGTAAAGCTAAAGTCAACTTCATAATTTAAAAAAATACGATTCACAAAGACTCCACTTATTTATTACACTGTGCATAAGGCAGGTTTCGATGTTGAAATGTGTAACGATTTTAGTCGGTCGGTTTCAAGATTTAGTAGATCCCAATTTACAAGATACATAAATATGCATATAAATATCTAGGTAAACAGGTTTCGTAGAGAGTTTGTCATCAATTATGACAAACTGGTTTATACATCTTGTGCTTTAAAGACACTGTTTATACCTCAGTACGGCAGGATGTATACAAATTGGAATGGTGATTATTATGAATTTATTTTACAGTTTTGCACATTTTTTACAACCCCCATTATTCATCATGTGAAAAATAAATACTTTTTATCTTCTTCACTACAAATATTTTATTAAGCTCTGCTTAGAATTTTAATTATTTAGTAACTTAATAAATACTTATTTAATACTTATATCTAACACGGATACTTTTAAATACTTTATCTGTTAATTTACGAAGCCGTATACATATTTGCATATTTAAGGTACCTGTGCGTAAGTCCCCCACAGGGTAATAAATTTCTAATAAATCTTATATACTTACATGTGCACAATTAATCCGATACTCATAAAGTAAATACGAACGAATCCTGGGATTGACGCAATATGTCATAGATTTTACCACGAGGGCAATTATGACACTACGAAATAGTCTACAGAAACCAACCCCGACTTATGGTTCACTTCATCACCATCCGTAAAGAGATGGCTTAACTGACGCAAAACTAATGAACCACTAGAGCTAAAACTACCACGAAATTATTTCCAAACTTATTTTCCTGTGATTTTAATGCCTTTAGATATCGCTTCTATTTAAATTTTAGAGTTTTTCACACTCTTTCTTCTTCATTCTCCATTTCTCCATCATTCTATCAAGTTGGGAACCAATAAGCAGCACTATAATAGTATATACGGAAGACATCTCACTAAATCTATAAATAAATTTGTCAATTTTTTACACATCTCAGCAAACAGATTTCCCCTTTACAATTGTACTTGATCAATCCACACATATAACTCATACCTTAGTAAACCATGAGCAATTTCGTATCAAAATTAATAACCACAAAAACACACATCAAGCCGACACAAGTACTTTATCTACCTTCCCATTAGCAATGTTGACCGTGAACCATAAACTAAATAAATAAGTTACATAAGTTTTCATAAATCAAATAATAAACTCTACATAACAGGATTATATTTGCACAGGCTGACCACCTGGCCGAGCTTGAGTATCAATGTCACACACATGAGTCGAAATCCGACTGTCGCATTAATAATAATCTACCAAAAAACAATATTGTAAGATAAGTGAGGCAAAATTAATAAAATCTATCACTGCCACAAAATGAATATTCGACAATCATTCTGTCAGTAATATTCATCTAGTCATAGAGAAATCATTTTATTTTCGTCCTTGTCCCCAATTCAATTTCCAAAATGCAAATATTCCCGCTTTATCAATTACTTCTACTCATGGCTCCAATAATCACAGCTTCCAACAAATGTAGACCAGGACCCGTTCACATGGATTTAGGCGAATCAATCCACAACATCCCAAGAGAGCAGAGTCAAAGCCCGGAATGTATATTTGATTACACGAAAAGTTTAACCGACAAAATAACTGAGGCAGGTGACATATCAAATATTCGAGTCAAAGTCAAAGTTCTCGTAAAACGGTGCACGAATTGTACACGCTACCCCATCATCTTTACTCTCAGACAGCAGGATCAATTCAAATTGATCAAACTACCTTGGCTATTGGGAAATTATACTTATGGAATTAACGAAACGTAAAGTTTGGTTTTGTGCAATAAAACAAGATCAAATTTTGTACACTGCTATTTATACAGCGCACGGAGCTACCATCCAATCAAGACCAATGAATATATTATTTAAATTCCCACTAAGGGTGTTCATCACATCGTTGGCAAAAAAACAAACGGTGGTATTCCTAATGACTTTTTTTGATATTTTTGGTGGTAACTATTCGAAACATGAGTGGAGAAAAGTGCATTAGGAATACGACCGAAAGTTTCCAAGTTAGCAAAAAAATATAAACAAATAAATTCGTAGAGATTCGAAAAATGATTTGCGAAGGCTCTAAGGCAGGTATTTAGTTAGCAAAAATATTTTCAGAAATATATTTGCCATGCCAAGTTGTGATGAATACCTTCGTATATTTATCTTTAGCAAGAATTTGATCTTGTTTTTTAGTACCAACACTACAGTTTCAAATATAAAGTTTAAATTATCTTTTTTTTATATTCAGATGGATCTATGAGTCTGGAGGATCGTTATGTTTTACCCCTTCTTCTATTGAGGAAGTAGGCAAATTAATTGTAACCGTGGAAACGGAGGGGGTAGGGGTTGGAGATAATTGGTTTCAATTAAATGTCCAAGTATCGCAGGACCTTAAACTTGTGTGAGTCTTCAATTTCCAAAATAACTTGCTTGCTTAAGAAATTTTATTATTGAAAATGTAACCTAGATTAAACAAAGGAATCACGACTGATACCTTGTCCGGGACAATCTCCTCGTATTTCATCTACAATTTTTCTGATCCGGAAAACAATGCGGTTAAATCGGTAACTGTTGTTACCAAGAGGATCGATACGGTACCTTGCGCAGTAATTTCCGTACAGAGTCCCTATGTAAGATTGTTTTAAGGTTTTCTTACGATAAATACCAATTACTGACCAGGATATTGTGGAAAAGTGTTATCGCCCCACAAATTCGCCATTCATATTTTTATAGGAAATAATTCATTCGCCCTCGTAAGAAGAGGGAATAACTACTATACGTAATAATTAAGAAATCTCTTGAAAAGTACGTGAAAACTTCATACAAATTTGAACCACCGTCCAATTTGTTTATTTTAATTCCGAGTCAAATCAAGTTTCTGAATATTGATTGGACACAAAATAAATATAGGTGGTACTTTCTAAGAGAATCCTGTATTTACCATCCTTCTCTTAAATATTGGTAACCCTACCAAACAGAACAAGGAAGAACACAGAGTTAAGGACAACCATGTTTGCTATTCAATTGCATCAAATTAATATTTTTATGTTTAGTTAATCCCGAATTATGAAGAAATAAGTCGCTTTTACTTAAGATTAGACAATTTTAACTGGTACATAATTTCAATATTTTATGTCACTTAACTTTTGAGATAAAATTATTATGGCATTTCCCATTTGTTATGGTAAGATTTAAATGGATTATTCAGTATTTTTGAGACTTTCATTCAAATTTTTATAACGTTTTTTTCAATACTATCTACAGTGCCCCATTTTCGATACAAGGGATTCCATCGATTTTGCCAAAGTATCACACAGCGTACTTAACTTATCTGTGATTCATATTAATGTAAGAAATTAAACATTCTTAAATCCATAAAGACTTTTAAATACGTATTTATTTCTACAGAGGGATGACCTCATTTGGGGGGAGCCTTTGTTACAGGACGGTTTCGCATTAGCGATCGTCGTCCTACTGACGGATGAAAGATGTCGCACTAATCTATATGGAAATATTAGTGACTACAGACTGAATAGAACCACAAAGTTTGAAGTTACTGTTTCCCAATCTCCATGGGATCACGGGGCAAAGAAACAAATTACAACGTGGTTATTCTCTACTCCCATTGTGCTTATGGTGTCTAACGTGATCTTCCTTATTTTGGTGGCATCACTATCCTGGTATTCTTGGATCAGGTAAGGAAAATAGGACAATTCAGCCCTCCAAAATAATTTCAGAGTTTCTTCCTGAATATCATCAGGGAAGGGAGCGAAATAACTTTGAAATATGATCAAGAAGAACCTTCTAAGAGGTTAGTTTCAATTAATATCAACAGCGGTATTCATCACGACTTCCGCCACATTTTTTAAAAATATTTTCCAAACTAATTACTAGCCTTGGAATCTTCAGAGGAGTTCCATACTATTATAAGAAAATCATCTTCTTGTCGGACTACACATCAAGTAAACCTCGATCGTCAAATATCAATGGAACAGATTTTTTCAAGGACATCAGTGGCAGCGCGATTGAATACTTAATGGCAGTTTTTTGCAGCAGTGCCCTCTATCGAATTTTGGTAATGAAGAATTACTTTTAATCCTGTGATTCTACTTTAACTTTTTCATCATCTTTACCAGACAATAACAGCAACGTCCGATATGTCCGACTGCTACTACAACAGATTGTGCACTTATCAGATTGAATTGAATATGTGGATATGGCATAATTTGCGCTTTAAATTCTTCTTGTGGAATTCCGTTGTATCCAGTTCAGCCTTTACATTAGTAGGGGCGGTGTATTTTATTTTCGTCATAATTCATGACAAGCTGCAGACAAAAATTGCGAAAAAATTAAAAAAAAGATTACCCGTTCTTGATCAAATATCTGTAATTTCCGAGCCCCAAGAAGAGAATCAGTTGCCTGATTGTGGCCAAAATTCCGTCCGAGATACAAACTCATGTCGAGGGGATGTCTCTAATATTGCGGAAAATAATTCATCAAGCGAAGAAGTAAATAACAACGATTCGAATACTGCAAAGGGACACCAAGGTGAAGGAATTTTGGAAAATCAGGAATACGGAATTCCAATCAAGTCCGGGTTGGATAAAGGTTTGGCAATGCTGCTGATCATGGAAGGCTTCGTTTCAGCGATGTATCACATCTGCCCAAATCTTGGAAGTTACCAAATCGGTAGGTATCAGTAGTTCCCATTTTACTAACTTATAGTTTCAAAGAAGACTAAAATCTAAAACCTTTTATGCATTTTTAGAGGCTCCCTTTCTCGACATGATTGCCCTCTTGGGATGGATTAAACTTCAACGCTTAAGACATCGCTCCTACATTAGTGTGTAAGTGTATCTTAAAGTTTATAAAATTAATAAGCTTCACAATTGATTAATTTGCGGGTCAAAATTTTATGTCGCATTCGAAACACAATTTTGCGATGTTTGGCGTATCTATCGTTTCCATCGCATTTTTCATAATTTTTGGGAAAAGTGTTTGCCAAGTTATGTTGCGAAATAAGCCCTAGAAGTTCGGAACTTTTAAAAGCTTCGCAAATATATTTTAATTCTGAAACTTTGCCAAATTTTACATACTAGTATCGCAATTTATGTTTCCGACCTGAGCACGCACAATATTTTCATTATTCTTTACAGGCTATTCACCAGCGTTATAGCGCTCATTTTATCGCTACTCGAACTGTACGAAACAATTCAGAAATATTCTCCTGATGATGGATTTGGACCTTACTTATTGTTCCCAATGCCACTCACATTCATTTTGATTTTGATGTACGCTCTCCACGGTATTTATGGATGCTTCGTGGATCACATTTACTCAGATTTACAAGATACAAACACTAATTTGTTGACCGTAAAGGAAGTCGTTTCCGAATTAACCTCTCTTGCTGATTGGCGGGACGTGGTTCCTTCCATTATCATAGCGGTCGGGAATGTGAGTCTGCTTTTTACTTTGTTTGTAAGAAGTATGCGGGTTATTACCTATGGTTGGAATGGCGCTGATCCAGTGAGTCCCCCAGAATACGTGGATATGTTGATTGATATGCTACACATCAATATCATGATTGGGCTGGCGATCCATTTTTTTAAGAAGGTAGGATAATTTCCTGTTTTTATTGTTGTTGTATATTGTGAAACGAGGTCATCAAATTTATGGTAATGACTTGAATCTCGCTTGTAGATAAATTTTGGCATTGATAGAAATTCAATTTAAACAATGTGCGTATGTGCTCACATTAAAATTTCATGTCGCATCGCAACACAATTTTCCGTACTTGCGATGTTTGATGTTAGCTCAAAAATATATCAAAAATGTTAGCTCAAAAATATCGTGGCAAATGGTTAGTTAATTTTGCTTACTTCTGTTAAAATGCTATCGTTTCGGTACGGGTTTTCTTTAATTTTTGGAAAATATTTAGTATTGTGAAGTTGTTTCGCGAAATAAAAACCAGCTCTATAATCAAGGGCCTTGATATGCGTATCAAACTTTGCTAAACTTAGCCAATTCATTTTCAATACTGAAACTTTGCAAAGATTCGCAAGCTTCGCGAATTATGTTACGATTTGACATTGACGTGAGTACGCACATTATGAGTACAGCTTAAATTTTAATTTTAAGGTCCGAATTTAGAATCTATTGTTATGGATTAAAATTGACCACACGAGTGGCTATTAGGCTCTTGGAAGAAAACATAAGAATTGTATCCCGTTTTAATGCGATAATTATAATTTAATTTACTTAATTCGATTTTAATAACTATAATTTCGTGTCCTCACAGATATACTTTGAAGGATTTAGACGTACTGACATTGCCCCATTGATGTGTTACACGTCATACATTGGGTTCTACGTGGTACAATGGAAGTATCACTCTGATTTATTTGATTGGAGTTTATCGCAAGCTGAGTCTGGCAATTTGAACAAGGAATGTTTAGACGGTGTTTATGATGGGAATGACTACTCCAAGGTTTACAAGGCGGCGTACCTCTTTGCAATGGGAATGGTAAATACAAAACACTAAATTATTGGAATGTCATATAATAACACTTCATTTTTTGATGCAGACTGTTACCACAATCAATGATGGATGTGTTTTGATGAACAGGAAGTTTATTCGAGTATTTTAAGCAATTCGACAATTTCTTTCAAGGTGGAAATCACCCATCCTAATTATTGTCTCTTTCAATTTACGAAATAATGCTATTATACGACATTTTATTACTAGTTAGTATTTGCGTGCATGTGATTCCAATTATTTTGTGTATATCACTGCTGCAAAAGAGATAAATACATAAATAAACTGCAATGGTAAAAAATCCTCCCATGAATATTTCGTTCTTAATTGTGAAGGAGTTTAGAAATTCTGTTTTGGGAATTAAATGCATATTTACTTTGCCTCAACATTACTACTTTATTTTTAGGTCATTATCCACTTATTCCATGTATGTAGCAGCTTCTCTATACTATTCATGCAAAATACTTTGGAATTCCTTACACATTTACTAACAAATACTAAAATACTATTCCTACTATAAGCGCAAACTTTACAAATAAACACAACACAGCAGAGTCTTACTGATAAGTATTAGCAATTTATAAAATATGGTGAGCAGATTCGAATTCAAATTTTGCTAGCTAAATGAACCGCCAGCAATTCTCGTAAAATTAGTAGCTGTGTGAATAGAAATAATCAACTTCTGCCAAAATTCATAGAATACTGTTGTTTATTCTAAATGTTTCTTGATTTGGTTTTCGTTTGTTCGCGACCAAACAAAACCAAGTCAACTGCTCGAAAAAAATAAACTAAAATGTGGTGGGGGGTAATGCGAAATTATAAATTTGGTACGTGACCCGTTTAGTCCTGACCATAAAATAACCTAGTTACAAATAGCGACAAATACGCTAAAAGATGAGTACGGTCCAAATGCTGTTTAGTGGCCTACTTTGGACCGTCCTGGCGGTCGATCCCAAGTTTCCGGTACTTAGATTTTTCGCATACTTCTTTTGTAGGTCATAATCAATTCATGTAAGAAAAATCTAAGAACCGGGAACTTGGGATCGAACGCCACGAGGTCCAAAGTGGTGGGGATTTTGGTGATTTTTAAATAATTTTCATGGAATTTTTTTCAATTTAACGACTTGTTGTTATGATCACGATTTTAAGTCATAACCTGTCAGTATAGCTTTGCATAGCCCGATTCCCGAACCATGAAAGTTGTGCGACATTAAAATGTCTGTCTGTCTGTATTTCGATAAATTTTGAAAAGGTACAAATTCGTATAAATTCGTACAAAATTTGGCAGAAATGTGTATCTGGACAATGCGACGAATCAGTTCGAAGATGAGGTTGATCAAACAAGATTTGGACCGGTGGGGGTTATATTAGTGGTGTGGGTCAATGGTTTGGCATATTTGAAATAGTAGAAGGCTTAAATTCGGTATGATGTTCCCAATGGAGGTATAAACTCAGAAAATGAAGTTAAAATTTAACATTTTTGCAACAAAAGGACCCTGTTGGGTGATCCCTACCGATTTCGAAATGTTGCCGTAGAATTGTGAAATTTAGCAGAGAGGTCCGTATTTAGTTCAAATGAAAGGATATGACGTTAAAATGCAATCAAAAGCGACCATTTGGCGACTCATACCGGTTTTTAAATATCTTAAAATTATTGGTTCGAAATGACTTCGACGATGGCCGGACATAACAAGTCAGTTTATATTCATGTGATCACATCACTTGGGCTATATTCCAACGACACTTTTCAATTATACTTGGGATGTCATACATATAAACCTCAGGCCTTAGATTGTAAGAAAAGTGGAAATCATAATAAATATACTCTCCCCATCAATTCTTCCAATTATTTGGTATTTTATTTCTTAGGTGAGGCAAAGCCGGAAAGCTGGGCCCCGTCTCAAAAAGCATATGTGAATATGCTCAAGTGGGGCCCTGCCAAGCATAAGATATGCATTCAGATGGGTGGCTGATTGTTGGCACGACCAATTCTTTTCTGTGAAAAGAAGGTTGGTGGAAAAGTTATGACGAATGTCAGCTGGTGTATCTCACCATGTTATAATGAGTTATTGAGGGCCGTTCACAAACAACGAATAATTTTTTAAAAAATTCATTTCATTTCTGCATCCAAATTAGTTAACGAAATTAATCAATTACGGCACACCACCTCCGGGGGTGGTCAGAAGTTAAAAAACTGGCCTGTGACATACAAATTTAGTTGCATTGGAAATGTATAATTAAAGGGTTCTATGTTAACCATCAGGTCAGGGGGGTGTGGTAAATTTATGGGTGGATATCGTAATTGGTGTCTCATAAATCTCATATTACCCCAAGCTACTAAAATTACTCATTGTAAACGAGTCGCAAAATCTTAACTAATCATGTATAAATAAATTCATTTTCATACGAGGAATTAAAATATTGCAATAATTATATTTACTTATTCAGTACACATAATAATTTTCAAAAATTACACAATTTTTTTTAATTAAAGAATTGAATTAAAGACGTTTACTGGGAATTAACAAGACTTAAGTCGGTCTTTTAGTAGACTGTCTGGTTTCATCTCGGCGACGCTGTGCAAAATCGAGTTTGTCTAATAAGTCAACTATGACTTTTTTATATTCTACAATGTCATCCACTACACAATGGTTGTACTCAAAATTGGGAAATCCTTTATGTGATCTTTTTCCTTTAATTTTGACATCAAACTTGTGGATAAGCTGCACTGCTTCTTTAACATCACCACGCCATTTATGGTAATGAGCGTGATGTTCTGGAGCACAATCCGCCACTGTTCCTATCATGTCTTGCCAGGACGCCATGAGCTCTTTGAGAATTTGAATGGATTTACTTCTGCGAATAACTGCTTTCTTGTTTTTATTTCCGTATTTCATGAGGACCATGGATTTCAATAATCTAGAATAAAAAATGTTAAAAATATTTTGAATGTGTATAATGAAAACCAAGGCGACCTGTTTATAAACTCCTGAAATAAGTCGCAGTCGATATTAGAATTGCTCTTTCCTGTTATAAATAAAAAATCTCTTTGTAAGTAGAAAGAATAATTTTGATCAGTATAATAATTAGTAAAGTTGTGAATATCTCTTCTCACCAGAAAGGTTCACCGAACATTATATAGAAGATCAAACTGTACGTTGCGATCCGCAAACGAAAATGTCCGCGAGTTGTACAAGTACACCGTACATAATCACTCTCATGAAATGTACCCATCACTTAAGCCAAGTCAAGCTGAAGCAATACATTCGTTACTAGTTGGAAAGGACACACTTTGCGTCCACCCAACCGGAAGTGGAAAGTCTGCAATCTTTGTGTTGGCACCTCTAATGAAAGCCAAGGTAGTAATGAAAGGTAGTAATGAAATGTTTGTAATTACTGAATAAAATATTTCTCTAGATAACGGGAACAAAACAAATTGCTATAATTGTCTATCCAATGAATGCAATAATAAACGACCAGTTGAGTAAATTAGAAACCCAAAACTTAAAAGCTTCAATTTTAACAAAGGATGATACCTGTGCAGGAACAATCTCACACGAACTAGGTGAGAGTTTCCACTACCATTATACCTCCTTAGTTTAGATACATAAACAAAATTGCATACTTCCTTTGTAGAGTGTATGCAGAATGGAGATGCTTACTACTTATTATGCAATCCGGATAATTTAGAACAAAGTTACGTTAGAAAACTACTTGTTAAGTGGTCAAAGTTCATCTCATTTGTTATGATCGACGAAGTTCATACACTTTATGATTGGTAAAGGAATTAAGTAAAATTTTAAAAGACGACGAATCTAAAATATTAAAAATTTTGTAAGGTCAAAAACGTTTCGTCCTGCATTTGGACGGGTGGGGAAATTGAGAACTTTTCTTGAATGTACTGTCGGGCTGTTTACAGCTACTTTCACCAAAAATATGATGCCTGGTATCCTCGAGGCTTGCAAATTAGGTGAAGATGAACTCAATGTTATTGCGAAGAACCCGGATAGGTAGAATATTTACAGGAATTGAAACAATTACAAAAATAATTCAATAACCACAGATATATTGTATCTTATGCTCTGGTAGGCCGGAAATATTTTTGGACTGTAGGAGAAAGACCAACATTAAAAAGGATCTGGATTTCCTAATTATAGAGGGGAAGACGTATAGTACTGATACGAAGAGAACTATAGTGTTCTTTAAAACTTGTAACGAGACCTCCGATGCAAATTACTACATCAGTAATTTATTACCTGAGGAAGGGAAAGTTTTTCGTGACGGGGAGCTATTTGATTACCTAGTGGAGCATATCACATCTGGGACTGGGCCAAAGACTCAAGAAAGGATTTTGGAACTATTTTCATCGGATATTAAATGTACCCAAATTCTTCTCTCAACAATTTTCTACGGCATGGGTACGCAGATATTTTACATATTACCAAATTTGATGTTGATAACGTTGGTTTTGCACTCCAATTTGAGCCTGCAAAAAATTTGTAGGAATGGACAACCCTACGATTGAAAGAGCAGTCTTATATGACTGCGATGAAAATGTAGCTTCCATTTTGCAAAAAATAGGACGAGTTAGGGAAGTTCAAGGCAGGAGTGGAGAAGCAATAACTTTTACAACTCAGAATATGCGTAATAAAATATTTAAAAAAGGGATTTGTATCCGGAAATGTCTCCTTCAAGACATAGTAGGATATAAAGCTTCCAACACTGAGTGCGGATGTCTTGCAAAAGTATGCCAATGCAATAAATGTCGATGCTGTAGCGTATGCAGGAAATCATGCAAATGTGTGGTACCCTGTGAAGACATGGAATGTGACGATGAAGATTACTCTGATGATGAACTAATGCAGGAAGGTTAATTGTAATCACTTTAATAATCATGATCTTTGCTAAGTCTATGACTGTATTTTATTTCTTCATAAACCTTGTAATTAAGGAAGGTCAAGTTTTACACTGTAAATATAAATATTTTATTCACAGATTAATCTAATCGTAAATTAGATTCAATCTCAAATTCCCTCTGACAAATAATTTTTTTTACATATTTGATGTGATATTTAATAATTTTTATTTGTAATTTGAAAGAAAATATACATTATTCAAGGGGGTTATCGAATTATTTACTTTATTATGCAAAAATTTTATAAATAAAGAAAAGTCAACGAAAAAAATGGAGAAAATTTGCACATTTTCATTTTACGCCCCCACCACCACCGCCATAATATGATTCATGAGTAAGATACAAGTTATTATGTTAAAATTCCAATTTT